AGGCACGAGCCTCCTTGGGGATGCCTCCCCCTTTTCAAAGAGCATTCCCAGCCACCCCGACTGCTTTTCCTGCTCACATTCCAAAGCACCATTAGGACTTGCTGCTCCCAAGCACTTGGGAGAGACCTTTGCGTGCTCCATGATCTGCTATTTTTGTTTATTCCTTTGGCACAGAGCATGTTGCAGTTTCACTTTTGCTTCCTTTATATTAGGAGTTTGTGGTTGTTTTAATGTACTGCTTTTAATCCCCTTACTGGGTTTGTAAGCCATCATGAATTTTCACAGATCAGATCCTAGTAAATCCTAGTAAATGCACACAAAGAAAGACACTTTAGTGTAGGGGTTGAGGCATTAGGCTAGAAACCTGGAGATGGTGAGTTCGAGTCCTTCCTTGGGCATGAAGCAGCTGGGTGACGTTGGGCCAGGAAGGACGGCCAGGACAAACCCCCTCTGAAAATCTTGCCTTGCCGTCACCAGGAGTCAAGACTGATTCAAAGCCCTCCAAACCAAGACAACACCCCGCAACATATGGCACATACATGCTGCCTTTGAAGTAGCATTTTCATCCTTATTCTGACACCATCCCAGAATAACCACAAGGAATTGAAGTTCCATGCACTTCACCATCCAAAGTGCTGGAGGTCATGGAAAGGTACAGTGGTGCTTTGTGATTTTTCAGGTAAATGAAGAGGTGACCCTCCCCTCCAGGCAGTCCCATTGGCCACTTCACTGCTGATGCTTCCCCAAAACTGGGAGAGCACATAAAATGTAACACCGAGGCTTGGAATCATGGAATCATAGGGTTGAAAAGGATCTTGGATGTCTTCCATCCAGAACTGGACACACATTCCAAATGTGGCCTCACTAGTGCAGAGTACAGTACAGAAAGTGATAGCACAGACCGGTACTATTACTTTCCGTGATCTTGATGCTATCCCTCTGTTAATGCAGCCTAGGACTGTGTTGGCTTTTTTGGCAGCTGCAGCACACTGCTATCTCATGTTTAACTGGTTATCTATTAAGTCTCCAAGGTCCCTCTCATAGTTACTGATGTTGATGTAGTACCATCTATTCTATATCTGCACATTGAGTTTTTCTTGCCTAAGTTTAAAGCTTGAATTTTCTCACCACTGAGCTGGATCTTGTTGGATATGCCCAATGCCCAAGTCTGTCAAAATCCTTCTAAATCTTGAGCCTATGTTAGCAATTCCCCCCAGCTTGGTGTCATCCGCAAATGTGATGAGTTCTCCTTCTACCCTTTTATCTAAATTGTTTATAAAGATGCTGAAGAGTACTGGGCCCAAAACAGAACCTTGAGGTACCCCACTGCATGCTTCCCTCCATGTAGGTGTAGTTCTATGAAGGACTATATGAGGAGTGCAGTTGGTCAGGCAATTGCAAATCCATCTGGTGATGGGACTGTTTATCCCACACACAATCCCAAGAAGAAGGCTCTCGTCTACTTTGTCAAATGCCTTACCGAAGTCAAAGTAAACTATGTCCGTAGCATTTCCCTGATCTACTAAATTAGTTGCTATATCAAAGAAGGCAAGGTATGTTTGCCCTCTGTTTTTAATAAACCCATGCTGATGTCTGATAATTACCTTGTTGATGTCTAGGTGTTCACAAACCCACTTTTTGATTATCTTTTCCAGGATTTGCACAGGTATTGATGTCAAGCTGATTGGTTTATTGTTTCTTGAAACAGTTTAAGTTTGAAACAATATAGTAGAATGCAATAGTGAAATAACAATAAAATGATGCACAAGTGAAAATACAACAAAACGATGTAATAAGATGTATTCAGATGGTTGTGTTCAAGTGGGAATAAATCTTTAAAGGCAAAGATGTTTTAGTTAGCTGGGATTTCTGAAAAGATGTGTTACAGAGAATGCAGTCCAGTGGGGAAGAAAACCAGGAGGCATCTAAATAAGTCAATGCAGTTAAACAGACAGCTTACAAAGGAACTGAGATTCCAGAATGTACAAGTGAAACTGGAAAATTAGAATATCGTGCAAAAGTTCATTTATTTCAGTAATGCAACTTAAAAGGTGAAACTAATATATGAGATAAGACTCATTACATGTAAAGGAAGATAGTTCAAGCCATGATTTGTCATAATTGTGATGATTATGGTGTACAGCTCACGAAAACTCCAAATCCACCATCTC